TCCTTTACTTTTAATTTTTATTGAACATAAGAGTATATTTTGAATACTTTCAATGAATAAATTAAAGAAGAAATTAGAGTAAACAAAGACTCACAGATGCTAGAAGATTCAAACATAAACCCAGTACTCTTGTGAATTTCCAATGATTGGATCAACTGTAACTCAAGTTAATCATAGAGTCTCAAAGTGAAAATAAATTTCCTTTGCCATGAGTGTCTTTTTTTTAAACTCTTCCTTCCAATGCCAGTCTTCAAATATAGTTAGTTTAAAAGTTTTATCAGTTAAAAACTGCATTAGCTCAGATACTAGTCCAATTTTTCAACTAAATCACCTTTTATGTTCAAATCTGCCTATATTCTAGAATGCTCTTTTTTAAATTAGTGATTCTCAGTCTTTTAGTCATCTGTCCTAGCCCACCTGAGAAATTTTTTGTTTACATTAACAATTGCTCATTGCTGCACTGATTCTTAATATTGAAGACATGTTTCTTCATTTTAACAGGCTTCTCATTAAACATTGATTTAAATATGATTGGACCAATTTCACTGAAGCTAGACTTTCACAGCAGCATGTCTATAGGAACTTCCAATGTTCTAAAGAGAAAAAACAATAAACATAATTTCCCAAACTTAATGATGAACCTTGGGGCTACCATTGTTGTGTAGAGGGTTAAGCTGGTGCCAGCTGGAGTCCAGCTGCTCCTATCTGATCAGCTCCCTGCCGATGTCCCTGGAAAGTCAGTGGAAGATGGCCTGGTGCTTGGGTCCCTGCTCTGGCTCCTGGTTTTCAGTCAGCCCAGCCCCACAGTTGAGGCCATTTGGGAAGTGAACCAGTAGAAGGAAGATTCTCTCTCTCCTTCTCTCTCTGTCTCTGTCTCTGTCTCTCTCTCTTTCTGTAAGTCTGCTTTTCAAATTAATTAATTAATTAATTAATTTAAAAAAATTAGGAAACCTCATCCCTCCCCATCTTGATCCACTCCCCACCAACCCAGTAACACAATCTCTTCTTGCTGCTACACAATGTGGTGGGTTCACATAATAGTCCAGTTGGCTAAAAATGAATGAAGTACAAATGGACGCGTCTGTAGGGCAGAGTCCATGTCCATTGTCTCTTTAGAAAGAATTCAGTATTCTTAGGAACACTGCTCAAGAATTACTCATAAAAATGGCTGCTATTCTGGAAAACCTACAAGCACCTCTACCTTGGTGTATTCATATGGGCAGTGAGCACCTTTTTAGTGTCCTTTCTGTGATCTGGAATATATATGGGGCCAAAGAGATTTTTAAACCATGGGCTATATTTATCTACTATCAACAAAATAGGGAAATGGGCCGAACCTTGTCTTTTCCTTTCCTCCCTATAATTTCCCAGGTTTCTAATTTTGTAGCAATCAAGTTTCAACTAGTTAATCAAATGTCTTTTGTGTGGCAGGTGCCAGGGAGCTTGTTTTAATTTGTGTACCTAACGCCATATTTAGGAACTTGGCCTTTTGGTTAACTGGCTATAAGCATGGCTTTAAACCATTAAATGTGTGTATTTAACTCAGCATTTATTTTTACATCACTATCCAAATAATCAGGATGTGGTTATCTGTAATATGAGGCATTATGACTTTTTTCCTATACACACCAGAGCACAAAAATATACGCCTCAGACATAATCAGCAATTTTATAAACACCCGTCATCCTGTGCCATTTATAAGATGGTAGCAATGAAGAGAAACATGGTTAGTATACGTGCATAAAATAAAGGAAGTCTACATAGAAAGCTTATAAAAGTGGACAATTTTACACTTTGTAACCTATTTTTAACATGAGAAGCAGCAAAGAAGGAAAATATCACAGTTGTAGTTTATCTTTGATTAAATACAAAAAATACTGAAAATAAAGATGTTTCAGAAACATGAGATCATTTTAAAAACAGTTATGTTTTTAATATGCCATCCTTTGCGTGAAGGAAAGGCAAAGAAATATCAGCAAAATTAGAAGGAAAAAAATAATCAGTGCCAAGTTTTTTTTTTTTTGACAGGCAGAGTGGACAGTGAGAGAGAGACAGAGAGAAAGGTCTTCCTTTACCGCTGGTTCACCCTCCAATGGCCGCTGCGGCCCGCGTGCTGCGGCTGGCGCACCGTGCTGATCCGAAGCCAGGAGCCACGTGCTTCTCCTGGTCTCCCATGTGGGTGAAGGGCCCAAGGACCTGGGCCATCCTCCACTGCACTCCCGGGCCACAGCAGAAAGCTGGCCTGGAAGAGGGGCAACCGGGACAGAATCCGGTGCCCCGACTGGGACTAGAACCCGGTGTGTCGGTGCCGCAGGTGGAGGGTTAGCCTATTGAGCTGCGGCGCGCCGGCCAGTGCCCAATTTTCTAAGGGAAGAGCTAATGAAGTCTTTTGTTGGGATCCTCACAAAGTAACTGTTGCATTCTTCCTTGTTATTTCGTGTTTTCTCAATTTATAGACCTAGTTATATTTTGTTTTATGTTGATACTTACCAAAAAAATCAGCTTAAATATCAGTTTGGCAAAAAAGAGAATAAAAAGAGAATTTACTGCACCTTCTAGGGAAAGACAGAATACAGAGAAGTAGCTAATGACTAGCATTATATAACAAGGTTCCAAAACAGACTAATGGGTATCATAATCAACAGCTGGTTTAAACTATAGTACATGAAAATTAAAGTTTCATTTAATAAATAAATGTTATAGGCAATGCTAAAATATTCTCATTTCCATTTTAAGTCTTAATAGACATGGTTAATGTGGATGCTACTCTGTCTATATAAAATATTTGTTCTTACTTTAATATGTAATTTAATTTTTAAAATCAACATTGAGGTTTCATGGTAACAATAGTTTAAGTGTCATAAAGAAAATCTAAGTCACACCAAAACAAATACAGTGCCTAATAAGTACTTACTAATATCTGATTGGTATTACTTCACTTAAAATTTATGAATTCTATGTGAGATAAAGGGATCATGCATTAATCAATTCAATTGCCTCAAAGCTGGCTTGAGGTGGCAATACTTACCACTTAATAAACAAGGAAAAGGAAACTCAAATGCATTAAATTAGGCATATTCAAGATCACACTAATGTGAAAGCAAAGATAGACTCAAGTCTAGTTCTTCAGATTTCATGCCAGCATCCCTATGACCCCAGCAAGTTCTCCAAGTGACTGATTTTAAGGAAATAGATGTTTGCTAAGGCTGCTTATCCATAAAAGATGGACCCTAGATGATTTTTCCAGTGCCAAGTACTATGTGGCAAATGAGTCAAGCTCACTCTCTTCTAGCCCATATCCTGTGATCTTCCTTTAAGAGCTCAGTGTCTCTCCCCCTTTTGATATAATATTGAGAGTTCCAAGGCCAAACTGGCAGCCAACAAACACAGTTTTTTAATTGCATAGTGGTTTTTTGTTTAACATAAAGAGCAAGTATAGGTGCACGTGACTCACATTTGTGCTTAATACTGAGAATTAATAAATATAATATTTTATATATTTGACTTCTTAAATTATAGATTAAAAATTGAGTCCTTATGTTTTCTCCTTAATCATTCATTTTCACTCTCCACAAAAGCAATCATAAACATGAATCAAGGTCCATTTTTTATTTATTCCAAGATATATGAAACTGCTTTGTGCATTTCCAGTTTAGGTAAAGGTATCATGCCATATGTATGGTCCACATTTCCCATATCCTAACAAAACTGCTCCTTTGAAATCTGTGCATATATATATATGCACATACATTTAAGTCATTTGTTTTATAGGAAAAAACACATGTTAAGATGATTCAAAATGTCTGTGAAAGAATAAAAGAAATGTTTTGGGGGGCAGGTGTTGTGGGTTAAGCCACTGCTTGGGATGGCCACATTTCATATTAGACTATTGGTTCAAGTCCTGCCTGCTCCTCTTCTGATCCAGTTCTCTGCAAGTACTCCTGGAAAAGCAACAAGTACCTGAGTCCTACTACCCATGTGAGAGCTCCAGAAGGAATTCCTGGTTCCTGGCCTTGGCCTGGCCCAGCCCCTGTTGTTGTAGCCATTTGGGACATAAACCAGCAGATGGAAGACTCTCTCTCTCTCTCCCACCCCCAACTCTAGCATTCAAATAAATAAATCATTAATAACACATTGGTTTAACTTGGTGCAAAAAATTTTCAAATCCATGGTTATTTTCTTCATAATACACATTTATATGAGCTCTTAAAATCTTAATTTACTTAACTCATTTACTTTAATTCCATAGTTTGTATCTCAACTGATAAATTTATTTTCTTTTAAATGAAGTACTTCAGTTGATGCTAATCTTTTACTACTATAAACCATGAGGCAATGAACTTTCAGATGCATGTCTCTTCATAAACGTTAAAGTTTCTGTGGGATTTATAAAATAAAAAAAAAAAAGTCATAAGCAGGACATAAGCATTTTCAACTGTTCTATATGTAGATCAATTTTCTCCAAATGATTGTATTTGTTTAAGTTTCCACCAGCATTTTTTATTTTTACCTATTTCCTAACACTCTGCCTGTCAAAAAAAAAAAAAAAGAAAGATATCTTCCTATTGGATGTGTAGTGTCTTCCAAATTAAATTATTTTAGATGTACACACTCCCTGTGATTTACCGCATACCTTCTTTTATACCTTGCAAATTTTCCTTATTTCTCCTTAGGTACATGAAGTTGAACTCACTCTATTTGACAAAGAATAAAGCTGCATGAGCTGGATTTCTCAGATCATGGGTTCATTTGAAATACATTATCATTGTAGCTGTATTATTCCAACCTAGGTTTCCATGGAAATGAAGCCTTGATAAAATTCATTCTGGGAGATTGGTAATCTCTATAAGTATTATTTAAGTTTTGTAGAGATGTCCTCTAGTGCCTACAAGCTGAATAATTTGCCTTCTCTTGTTTCAAACAATCTTTATAAGAATGTTTGCTTTAATCTGTATATTCCAAACTAATTAATGCTAATACCAATTTATGTAACCCTTAGATGCTGGACTGGAGATTGCCATGTGTGCATTTCACCCTGGCTGTGATGTTGATGCTGTGGGGCTCAGGAAAAGTGCTCTCAATGGACGTAGCAACAGAGGTATTGGAAACTAGCATAAGTCATTCCTGCTAGAATCAGAGACAGGTGCAGTTGACACTTAGGAAAACGCCTTGATGACACAGAATTAAAGAAATAAATGTGTTTCTATTGCTTTATTTTATTGCCAACCTGATATTCAAGATAAAAAAATTAATTGTAAAGAGCAATAACGATTGATTTTCTCTTCACAGTGCATTCAGAGCAACCCAGTTATCTAAATTTTAGAAGACACTTAAAGCATGTATAACGATGTGCCTTCCTTGAACAAAAAAGTGTTGAGGAAATATATTTTCACGTTAGTCACTTTTTTTTAAGATTTTATTTATTTATTTGACAGGTAGAATTACAGACAGTGAGAGGGAGAAACGGAGAGTAAGATCTTCCATCTGCTGGTTCACTCCCCAAATGGCTGCAACGGCCAGAGCACGGCCGATCCAAACCCAGGAGCTTCTTCTGGATTTCCCACACAGGTGCAGGGGCCCAAGCACTTGGGCCATCTTTCACTGCTTTCCCAGGCCATACCAGAGAGCTGGATAAGAAGAGTAGCAGCCAGGACTAGAAGCAGTGCCCATAATGGATGCCAGGGACACAGGCGGAGTATTAACCTACTGTGCCACAGGGCCAGACCCCCAGCCACATTTTAATTACATCAATTAACATCAAGATGAATTGCTTTTATTTGAAAGTTGAAGTACTTGTCATCCCAAAGTTTCAGTAGTTTTGGTCAAACTTTGCATTACAGTACCAGTTCTGGGTACCATGAAAAGAGGTATAAAGGGAATTGATATTTCTACTCAGAGAAAAGTTAATTTGGTGTATTACATCTTACTGGAAATATATTTTCTATGTAAGTCTTAACAACAAGAACCTGAAGTGCATTTAACAAAAGAATAAATTTTATATAGTTCTGTTTGTTTTTTTATATTATTTATTTGAAAGAGAAAGAATGAGAGAGAGAGAGAGGAAGAAAGAAAGAGATTTTCTCTTTTTTATTTTTTATTTTTTGACAGGCAGAGTGGACAGTGAGAGAGAGACAGAGAGAAAGGTCTTCCTTTGCTGTTGGTTCACCCTCCAATGGCCGCTGCGGCCAGCACGCTGTGGCCGGCGTACCACGCTGATCCGAAGCCAGGAGCCAGGTGCTTCTCCTGGTCTCCCATGGGGTGCAGGGCCCAAGTACTTGGCCCATCCTCCACTGCACTCCCTAGCCACAGCAGAAAGCTGGACTGGAAGAGGGGCAACCGGGACAGAATCCGGCGCCCCAACCGGCGCCGCAAGGCGGAGGATTAGCCTAGTGAGCTGCGGCGCTGGCAGAAAGAAAGAGATTTTCAATCCACTGATTCACTAACTACAGTGGCCAGAGCTGAAGCCAGGATCTGAAATTCCATCAAGATTTCCCCCGTGGATGACAGGGACCAAGTACTTGAGCTGTCACCTGCTGCCTCCCAGGGTGTGCATTAGTAAGAAGCTTGAATTGAAAGCAGAGTTGAGACTGAAACTCAAAAATTCCTATATGGAATGGGAGTGTCTCAGGCAGAGTCCTAGCTAATGTATCAATAACTACTTCACTATGATTTTTGTGTGTGTGAAAGTTAAGAGTACAAAATAAAAGCACTTTTTTTTTTGAAAAATGCCTTAGGATATAATTAAAAATCCTTTACCCTTTGAAAGTCTCTTGCTGTCTAAATTTTTTCCTGATGAGTATGGAATCCTGTTCTATATTTTCTATGTTGTTGGGCTTATATAGGAAATAGAACTTGAGAGTTTAAGATAGTTTTAAACCATTTTGGGTTCTGCATAGTAAGTAACAAGGAGCTGTAAGAGGTTTTTAATTTCCTCTTTATATGATGAAAATAGTGTTGGAGATAACTCATTTGGTAAGAGTTTTCAGGGTGGCATAGAAGAGAGGAAACAGGGAGATACAGAACCAAGCTATAAGGAAAATGATTAAGTGGTAATCCCTGAACTACAGAATGACGGGGGAGCATGAAAAATGCTCTCTGTGGGCCTCGGAAGGAAACAGATACATTTCACAAATTAAAACACATACTTTTGTGACTTGGATAAAGTACAAAGTGGCACTATACACAACAAATTAATAAATAAGAAATTTTACATGGGGTAATGAGGTTATAGGATACCTCTGACATGTTGTTGGCACTTTTTAATATCTGTCAATAAATTAGATGCACAGAGTTGGTAATCTCCTTGGGCTCAGAGACTAGATTCTGTTCCCTTTTGTATCCTTTAAATCTAAAGCAGACCTGGTACATAGTGAATTCCTAGTAGCTTCCATCACTATAGAATGAATGAGTGGTGAAAAGAAAATAGCTTGAAGTTCAAGTTTTTTAAGAATTTATTCAACAAACACTCATCAGAAATAAACTGAGTGTCAGCTCTCAACAAAATACTAGCTGGGCCTGAGAGCAAATAAAAGATAAATACACAAAGTCATTATCCTCAAGTTATGATTTAACAAGGAAAACAAAAACAAAACATTACAAACACTCTAACACAAGGTAAAATGTAGTGAGTGAGATGATGAGAGAGGGATGGATGACACGCTGTGGGAATGAATAGGAAGAATGAAGGGAATGCTAATGGGAAAATTTGAAAGAATGATCAGTTAACATCCTGTATTTTAGAGGTGAGCCTGGAGCCCTTTCCCTCTGTGTTCTGTTTTCTTTGGTTTTCTCTTAGATATACCCCACCTCTGCATGTTTCAGTTCCCAGAAGTCTGGCTTTTTCTCTGGAACATGATTCCATGAGAAATTATAAAAACTTATGTGATGAGCATGTTAGCAAAAGGTAGCAAAAGCCAGATGCAATGGCTGTACTGATTTGAAATTGTTTTCTCTAGAAGAATGGAGTCACCTTTCTCTGCCCTCTAGGCCCTTGATCCTGGAGTCACAGATGTGCAGTCACCACCCACAATCAGGGAAGAGAAATCTGCCACTGAACTGGCAGCAAAACTCTTGCTTCTTGATGAACTGGTGTCCCTGGAGAATGATGTAATTGAGACAAAGAAGAAAAGGAGCTTCTCTGGTTTTGGGTCTCCCCTTGACAGACTCTCAGCTGGTTCTGGAGATCATAGAGGCAAACAGAGGTGAGTGAACTCTTGGAGAAGGGAAATTTTCGTTTTCTAATTCTTCCTTACTGAATTCCAAAACAGAGAATTCCACATAGAAATACAGCACAAAACTCATGTGTATACAGATTTGAGAGTGCATTAGCTAACTTGTGGGTTTAAAGGTGTGATCTGGGATGTAACTAGCGGTCAGAATGATTCGGTAGTATGCATTAATATCTGTGCAACGTTTCCTAAGGAAAATCCTGTGGTATGCAGATATGAAGCATTCTTAAAGACAATACTGCATTTGAGAGGTGAGAGGCAATGTGTGTACTGGAATAAATGTTCTAGTCAATTGAGTTTTCTATTCAACAGAGGTCACCAGAATACTATTTTGATTTTTGCCTTTTGTACAAGATTTTCTAAAAAGGTGAATGAGTCCATTTTCTTCTATCAGGAAGCAATAAAGCCCTCCCAGGACTTGGAATTAGAATACACATGTTTAAGTCAAATTTCTGCTCATTTCATGCCAAATATCTTACCCTCATATCTTTCCAGCTTACTTATCCATAAACTGAGAATATTTACTTACCTACATAAAAATCAAACGAGATGATCAAATGAAAGTTCTTTCCATGCTGTTAATTGTAAGAATTACAATAATTATGTCACCTATTATCATTAAATAACTGCCAGTAATTTAAACTAATTTAATTTTTACTTCAGGATCTGTGCTTCATGCTGTATATTGGAAATGGCATGAGACCACCAAATTAGTGTACCCAGGTATTTGAAGAATTGACTAGGATGAATTTGCTTACCTTAAATATCCAATTTCTTTATAAATTCCTGAAATCCTATTTAGTTTTATATCTTAAATGTCTTCAGAATAACTTCTGCCATTAAGGCTTTCCTAATTCAGGACTTCTTTTTATTTTTCCAAATTTGTTCTTTGTGCAATCTTTCCTCACCTGCACTTCCATCACCACTATCACTCATTTATCACCAAAGTACCTTCTGCTCTGTACCAGAGTTTTTGCTATCACTACAGCAAAAACCTCTGTGTAAAATGTAATCCATTGCTTGCAACATGAAAATCAAACTCCTTAGCTAATCATATAAAGAACTTCAATATCTAGGACCTCATTTATTTGCATCCTAGCTCCAGTCTGAGAGACAAAACAATAATATCCAAGAGAAACTACAGGAAACATTGGGAAATAGATAGAAATATTTTAATAATAGGGGGTTTTAACTCATTTTTAAAAATCATAGACAAATTTATTATATCGTAAAATTTCATAGATGACCAGGCCGGCGCCGTGACTCACTAGGCTAATCCTCTGCCTAGCGGCGCCGGCACACCGGGTTCTAGTCCCGGTCGGGGCGCCAGATTCTGTCCTGGTTGCCCCTCTTCCAAGCCAGCCCTCTGCTGTGGCCAGGGAGTGCAGTGAAGGATGGCCCAGGTGCTTGGGCCCTGCACCCCATGGGAGACCAGGAAAAGCACCTGGCTCCTGGCTCCTGCCATCGGATCAGCGCGGTGCAGCGCACCGGCCGCGGCGGCCATTGGAGGGTGAACCAACGGCAAAAAGAAGACCTTTCTCTCTGTCTCTCTCTCTCACTGTCCACTCTGCCTGTCAAAAAAAAAAAAAAAAAAAAAAAAAAAAAAAAACTTCATAGATGACCTACACAGTGTAATCAGTAAAATACACTTATAAATGTATCTTTAATTTTGAACTACAATATTTAAGAATATAATTTCTTTTCAAGTGAATAAGAATATTCATAAATTGTTTCTAACTTTAATTTATTTCAAAGATGGGTCAGGGGAAAATGCCAGTGTTGTGGCACAATGGATTAGGCTACTGCCTAAGATGCCTACATCCCATATGAGTGCTAGTTTGAGTCTCGGCTGCTCTGCTTTTTATCCAGCTCCCTGCTATCGCTCCTGGGAAAGCAGCTGAAGATGGTCCAAATGCTTGGACTGCTGCAATCCATGTGGGAGACCTGGATGGAGTTCCAGGCTCCTGGCTTTAGCCTGGCTCAGCCTCAGCCATTGTAGCCATTTGCCAAGTGAACAAGCAAATGGAAGATCAATCAATTTAACTTTCTATCTATATTCCTCTCTCCCCCTCTCTGTACCTCTGTGTTTCAATAAATCTTAAAAAAAAAAAAAAAAACAGGAAACTCTTCTATCTGTTGGTCCTTCCCCAAATTTCTACAATAGCCAGGACTGAGCCAGGCTGAAGTCAGGAACCCAGAACTCCATCAGGACCTAAGTATTTGAATCTTCACTTGCTGCCTCCCAGGGTGTGCATTAGCAGAAAACTGGATCAGAAGTGGGGCCAGAGGCATTGTGACACAGCGGGTTAACACTTTGGCCTGAAGCACCAGCATCCCATACGGGCGCTGGTTCGAGACACAGCTGCTCCACTTCCAATCCAGCTCTCTGCTGTGGACTGGGAAAGCAGTATAGGATGGCCCAAGTCCTTGGGCTCCTGCAGCTGTGTGGGAGACCTGGAAGAAACTCCTGGCTCCTGGCTTTGGATCCGTGCAGTTCCAGCCATTGTGGCAGGTTGAGGAGTAAACCAGTGGGTGGAGGACCTCTTTCTCTCTCTGCCTCTCCTCTCTCTGTGTAATTCTGACTTTCAAATAAATAAATATATCTTTTAAAAAAAAGAAGAAGTGGAGCCAGGATTCCAACCTAGGAACTACAATATAGAATGCAGTTGCCCTATGCAGTATCTTAAGTACTGTGCCATGATACCTGAGCCAAATATTCATAAAATTTACCATATCTGAATTAACAAACAAAACTTTAAGAAATTCTACAAAATATATATATTACCAAAGCATTCATTTACTAGAATGTAGTAAAACTAGAAAAAAAAAACAAGACTTTCTTACCTAGAAATTATAAACCATGTAATTAATTGCTTTATCAATTGAGAATGCTCATACAAAATGAACTTTATTAAAATGCCTTATTAAAAGCAATAATGATGAAAATATGTTACAGGCAAAGTAATTGTAGAAAAATCAAGATTATTGTAATGAAAATAATGCAAACATCATTCCAAAAAACTAGAGAACAGCAAAATAAACCAAGAAAGGCAGAATATAGTAATTAACAATGACAAAAGCTGAAATCCGTAAGTTAGTACAGCACAAGATGTAACAAATAAACGCAAGGCTTGTTTTTCTTATACCAATAATAAGACAAGTCAGTAAAACTAACTAATAAATGATTAGAAAGCAATTTACAAAATTAGAAATTATAAGAAAATAGCCAGCAAAGAGGAATTTCATAAAAAGATTAGGAAACTACTTTATTCAACTGCATATAAATAAACAATATCTAGGGGAAAATGGACAGATTTTTTGAAAAATACAACTTATAAACATTTAATACAATAGACACAGACACAATCCTATCACCTTGATTTTTGACTTTTTTATTAATAGAAACAGATTTCATATATTTCATAGATAAAATCCAAGAAGATAACCATAATTCCTTATTTCTCTCTCTCTCTCAATCCACCCTTCTTCCTTTGTTTTCTTTCCTTTCATTTTTGCAATAACATACTTTTAATTTACTTCATAGCCACAGACTTAATGAACCACTAAACATAATGTCCTACAAATAAAAAATAAAAGACAACTGTTCCACAGGAATATATACAGGGGCTATAAACAATAATCAAATCATAAGGTGTCAGTTTCATGCATATAGATGGTTTTATCTTGTCAAGAGAAAGCCCCAGATCCATATATTTTCACAGGAGAATTTTACTAAACCTTAAAGTAGCCAATAATACCAATATTATTTTACGTTTTCAGAGCATAATTAAAAAATAGAATTTCCAAATTCATTTGTTGAAATAAGTACAATATTGATTCCTAAACCAAAAACATTATGCATAACAAGATAAAATCATATCTAACATTCTTAACAAACAGAATCCAACTGCACTTTAGAAATTCTATCTTGACCAAATTTTTTATTTTTTATTTTTTTATTTATGTTTTATTACAACAAAGTAAATATGATCCAAGAATTTTCTTCATTAACAGAACCTTGGGTGAAAAGAATATAATTATAATTACAAATGAAAGAAAAGGCAGTTAGCAAAATCTAACATTTATTCAAGTCTAAAAAAAGATAATAAAAAAGAATTGACAGATACTTCCATAACCTGATGTATGTGTATATGTGTATGTATGTACCTCAGACCAAAAGTCAAAAGTCAGTATCTTACTTAATTGTTGGATTTACTGGGAGCTGTACTGAAGAGAGGAATAAGAAAACAATGCCTATTATTTCCACTATAATTTCTAAATGTATTTATTAAAGAGAAGATAGTTAAAGTCATAAGGCTTGGAAATGATGAGGTAAAAGTTTGCTTATTTCCACATGATATGTTCGAAAACCAACACAATCATTGTAAAAACTACTAGAACAAAGCTCTAAATAAAAATAAGAAAATATATTAAAAGTTAATAGGACACATTGTATGAGAATAGAGTTAATCTATTAAAAAGAGAATGGAGTATATTAAAAAGAGTACATTAAAAGAGAGTATATTAAAAAAGAGTGTATAAAGTTAATTGAAAATAAATCTTAGTAAAAAATAAGACTGGGAATAGGAGAGGAAGGAGAAAGGGGGTGGGAGAGTGGGTGTGAGGGCAGGTACTGTGGAAAGAATTACTATGTTCCTAAAGCTGTATTTTTTAAATGCATGCAAATAAATAAATAAATACATCTTTAAAAAAGTTAATAACTTCTGCATACAAACACATCTCATATGAAAGGTTAAAAGACTTATGTACTGTAGCACAAAAATAATAAAATATATAGGCAAAGTATGATTTTTAAAGATTTATTTATTCATTTGAGAGGAAGAGTTACAGAGAAAGGGAGAGACAGAGAGAGAGGTCTTCTATCCATTGATTCACTCCCCAAATGCCCACAAAGGTCAGAGATTGGAGATCTGAAGCCAGGAGCTAGGAGTTTCCTTCCAGGGCTCTCACAG